TATATGAACAAACCCTTCTGTAAAAGCCTTCATAATATTGATAGGAATATAACTGGAAGGTTTGGTGTATGTACGTGCTACTGAAGTTGAAATTTCGAACTAGGAGAAAGAGAAGGAGAAAGGAGAAAAAACTCATTTTGAGAAAACGACCTTTAAAGATTGCAGTGAGGCGCTAGCTAAACCCTCCTGTTCTTTGGATGATAGCTTGCGCATCGACGCACTCCGTGAAGGTATTTCATGTTCGGGGTCATTTGTTTTTTGTATAATCTTGCTTCGTGCAAGTGACTTGTTGTCGTCTTCTCTGTGAACGTTTTTTTCGCCGTTCTTTTGCCATTTTAAGATTTCAATTTCTAGCGGAAAGCTAACCAGGAAGTGTTTTAGCACACCACGTGACGCATCTGAACGAATCACGTTGTCAGAAATTGACACCAGCCAATGAGATTTCGTTTCTTGGTTTAAGACCCCTTTGTGCTTTCACAATTGGTTGCTGATACAAAGGAAATGACCATATTTGGATCCGATGAGATTGTGCAGGAGAGACACAGCTTTCCAACGATATCTCTGTTGACATGGTGCACACAGCGGTCGCGGTACTTTATGTTACGTTAGAATGCTAACTTTTGGTGAATTTAGGAGAAATCTACAGACGCAAATAGACAAACTATAGTAAAATAAACACTTAAATGTGTATTTTGTACGTTTTCCTTCCAAAAGCCTGAAAGAAAACATGTTATGGAATCAAAATAGCACAAAATCTCAAAATTGACCAGTAGCCTACTTGAAAAACGATGTTTTTGCCTGCCGTGTCTCGCCTTAATTACCAAATCAGAATCACAAATATATGCTGAAAGTCGGTTTACAAAAATAACAAACCGGAGTAACAAAACCACAAAACGAACTAACCTTTAACACAAAAATCTTACCTAACAAATGAGAAAAATAAACATACAGGCTTCTTACCTACTCTAACATTAAACAAGAGAAAACGAATTAAACAAAGAAAAGGGTTTTGCACTTCTGAGTAAAAATAACTCGGGTCTACAAAGACAGGTAATGTAAGGTAGCTCACAGCAAGAAGAGAAGGACAAGATACTACACTCAAAGTGCGAACACAGCACAACAGGACAAAAGATCTCACACGCGCAAAATTGGGAGTAGGAGAAGTTGAGTCGGAGAGAGTGGCCGAGGAAATGCACGGCTGCAGCTTAAAATGCTCCCGTCTCCTCAGGTGGACCAATCAGCCTGACGAGGGTAGCTAATCACCTAACGGGCACCACCTGCGTGCTCACACACACACACACACACACACACACACACACACACACACACACACACACACACACACACACACACACACACACACACACACACACACACACACACACACACACACACACACACACACACACACACACACACACACACACACACACACACACACACACACACACACACACACACACACACACAAACAATGACACCGTAACACCCGCCCCCAACTAAAAATCAAACATTTCCCCCTAAAGAAATGTTTGACTCAGATATATGGTTTAAAAAAATTCTAAAGACGGACTCTTAAGGACTCCAACAGACTCGAAGGACCCTAACGGACACTGAAGGACACTGAAGGACACTGAAGGACTGTGAAGGACTCCGAAGGACTGTGAAGGACGCTGAAGGCATGGTGGCCTGAACGCCTCATCAATTACGCTATCCTCCACGTTCGTTGCAACGTTTCTTAAGGAGCGCGGCTTGGTTTGAATAAAATCTATAGGGGACGATGTTTCTCTACCTGTGTTTTGCTCTTTCCTTTTTAGACTAGGACAGGCGACGATGAGGTGTCCTTGCTCATGGCAGTAATAGCACTCCCTGTTATCAGCTGTTTTGGCACTACCACGGGGAGGAGAGTTTACCCTTCCGTCACCTGCCACAGGATCACGGTGAACTGGAAGTTAAAAAACATTTCTATGAGTTATCACAAATGCATCTGCCAGTACCGCGGCAGCAGCAAGTGACGCAACTTTCTGCTCATTTAGATAAGTGACAATTTTATCTGACAGCTGATTTTTAAATTCTTCCAAAAGAATGAGCTCACGCATGTCCTCTATGGATGTGATTTTGCTGGCTTGACACCACCGATCGAAAAGGCCACCTTTTCCTCTTGCAAACTCCACATAGGTCTGGTTGACATTTTTTCCACCACTCCTAAATGTTTGTCTGTATGCCTCCGGTACCAACTCATACGCTCGAAGTACCGTGGCTTTCACAACATCATAATCGAGGCTCTCCTCAATAGTCAGGGCATTGCAGACTTCCTGAGCTTTTCCCACCAATTTACAATGCAATAACAGTGGCCACACCCTCTTTGGCCACCACAACATAACAGCGATGCGTTCAAAAGCATTAAAATATGAGTCTACCTCTGACTCCCTGAACGGTGGGACTAATGTAATGTGCCTACTCACATCAAAACTATCATCGGGATTTGTGTGTGATCTATGGGTAGGTGTTGGACTGGATGGTAGAGCGACTCCCCGCTCTATCTCCAGAACTTTTACGCTTAGGTGCATGGCTTCCACCTCCAACTCCTTGTGTCTCAGCTCTACCTCCCTGATGCGCAGAGTCAGCTGTAGCTCCTCTACAGACATCCCAGCTTGGGAAGGCAGGCCTTGGAGTGGGGCGGAAAAACCTGCCAGATCATCCACTTCACCTGTGCGAGTTGTCTCCTCAAACACACCCCTCTTGATTAGTTATTCACACAGGAGTTCTTTTAATTCCTGCTTTTTGGCATTTATAGGCACAAATACATCATAAAAATGGGCAATTAACACCAAATCTGCTCTTGTGCAGTCATCTAAACTCTGAATGGAAGGTTCTGTAGTAAACAACTCCAATTTACTTTCCATTTTAAATTTCAAACAGAAAAACTGTCAGTAAAAAAAAAAAATAGATAGCAATGCTTACCCGACAGGACGAAAAGAACGGAAGGACCGGACGGACGAGCCACCAATTATGTCACGCCCAGGCCTAGGGGAACCTAGGCGCAGCACAAAGTTGCACTCTCCCCACTTTTCCCACTCCCAATAACATGGACGCCAAGGCAGAGTAAACGTTTGGTAATTTAATTACCAAATCAGAATCACAAAAACATGCTGAAAGTCGGTTTACAAAAATAACAAACAGGAGTAACAAAACCACAAAAGGAACTAACCTTTAACACAAAAATCTTACCTAACAAATGAGAAAAATAAACATTCACTCAAAGAAATGATATGTTAGATGTACTTAATCTAGTTATGTCAACCGGTTGCACGTAACAAGGCTAAGTAAATAGGAAACAGACTAGTAAACTAATATTTACTTCTAAGTAAATCTTACCAAAGCATCTTAATTAAATGCTACATCATACAGTTATGTTGTATTTGTTTAACACAGTTATGTTGAATTTACTTAAATTGTTGTTTTTACTTAACACAATTATGTTGTATTTACTTAAAGTTTGCACTGATTTACCTAACACAGTTAGGTTGTAATTACTTAACACAAATTAGTTCCATTTATGTTGTAGGATTATGTTATTATTTGCACTTAACATAATTTAATCCAAATTGCTCTATCAATATAAGTAATTCAAATGACTACAACTCAGTAATTTGTATTCCCCTCACTTTATTTAAAATGTTCATTTTAGACAAAGTGCAGTAGTGTAAACTTATAACATTGCATTTAGCAAACAACCATCTGAATTGCCACAACAATTCAACAACAACAAAACACTTAACTCCAACCGCCCATTGGTGGTAGGTGCACATATTAGCATTTTAAAGCGCTTTGCGTAAAAAACCCACAGCTGCTGAATTTGACAGTGATGAGAAACACGAGTGACTCAAGAAGTTAACATGTGGGCTGGAAAGCTACAACAATGACTTATTATATGAACATTTTATAAAATGCAACTTTACTATGAAGTATGGTGTTTTTATGTCTTTCCAAACACTTAGATGAAATGCATCACATAATATTGCTCAAGCACATAATGTGTTACAGTAGATCTTTGCCTCTGTTATACACATGAACATATGCCTTGAACTTTCAAAAGCAGAAACACAATTGTGTGTGTCTCTCTGTGTGTGTTTGTGGTGTGTGTGTGTGTGTGTGTGTGTGTGTGTGGTGTGTCTGTGGTGTGTGTGTGTGTGTGTGTGTGTGTGTGTGTGTGTGTGTGTGTGTGTGTGTGTGTGTGTGTGTGTGTGTGTGTGTGTGTGTGTGTGTGTGTGTGTGAGAGAATGTACCGAGATGGAAATTAACTGTCACAGTATTTTGTCCTTGGGATTACTCTTGTAATCTGTTTTTCAGTCTGTTGCCATCCGACCCCATCAATACTTTTTGAATGAATTCAAATGTATGTTTCAGGTCCTTGGGGTAGCTCAGATTGAGGCTGTAAATCAGTCCAAGCAGTACTGCCCATCCATGTTGGTATCGTGACAACACTAGTGGAGAGAGAACTAAGCGCTCCGAGGTGTGGTTAAATGTTACCCGTCTTGAGGTGGACAATGCTCTTTGCCAAAAGTGAGAAATCATTTATTGCTTTTGGCTATAGAATAGAATAGAATCATTTAATGTCATTATACATGTACAATGAAATCATTAAGAAAAGCTTCTCCCTTTTTAAAAGGTGCACCAACTCCTTAGTAAAGTATTTGGCTCTTTAGCTGCTCAATGTTCCGCTTTCTTATTATAGTATTAGCAAGGTTTAAACAACCATACAGCTTACAAGTCTAGTTTTGATTCCTTGCAATTACCTTAGATTAATATAAATACTGGTTAGAACACACTGTACACCAATACACATCTTATCAAGGACTTGGTTAATGAGGAGGTAATCTATCCTTTAATTATATAGTAGATACAACATATCTGTACACCAATGTCTGTCTTCTGTCATTTTGTTTTTGCATAACAGATACATGCTGAATTACAGCACATAACAACTATCCCACTTGAAACAGCCTTCATGGCGCAGTTGGACAGCCATCTACCTCAGCTGACATCTGTCTTCCAGAAGAAGGGAGGAGTTGTTGGCCAGAAACTAGCCAAACATTTGGCGATCTTGCAAAAGGTAAATGTGTGTATACACTGTTTTATACAAATTGTCATATACTCTATGGAGCAATTTTATGAAATGTACATGTCTAGTACCGTATAGAGCACCATTTGCCTCACAACAGCCTGGATTACTTGCCAGGTTCAAGAATGCAAGACACATTTCTAAGGAAATCGGATCTTAATAAGGCAATAGTGGCATACTGGTTAGAGAAGCAGGCTTGTGACTGGAAAGGTGCAAATGCAATCCCCAGGTGGGGAAAGTGAAAAAGCAGAACCTGCCTTGAGCAAGTCACTTAATCCTCAGTGGCCAACAGATCAGACTGGTTGTACTAGGCAGATTCCAGGTGTGAACTGTGAAGAACAGAGCATTGCTCTTGGTGAAAAGTCCCTGGATGAGTAACATTTTTGAACACATTCAAATATCTGACATTGTAATACATTTAAGTCACAATTCTTTAACATACTTAAGTTAGGGCAGGCCATTTACATGTATAATGAAGTCATTGTATATATTATATTGTATATTTAGGTTACTACAGGTTGTAAATCTTTTACAATTTATAGACAATTTTGTTATTATTGATGTATTTAGAAATATTTTAATAATTGCAATTTTTTTACACATGCAACAAGTGATGTTAACCTTAAAAGGGAAGCAATCCTCAAGGCACGTTGCATCCACCTTGGTGAGGATGATGGACATCTCATTCGGGAGTATAGTAAGTCACTGTAATTGCATTTGCCAGTCACATGTAGTGTTTTAAGATCCTAGTGTCAGGCATCAATTTTAGATAATTATGTTTTACCTTACACCTGAATATATGTATAAATGTTGATATTCATCAAAAAACTAAAGCATTTAAAACCATCAGCTTGGTTTTTTATACGATGAGGTTGGCTTTATTCATTATGTTTCTTATTGTCCAATGGAAAGACCATAATCAAAAATGTCTTAGTCCATCTGTCAATCCTCTCTAACTTCTGACACTCAGCACCAAGCTTATTGGTTCCGACGTTAATCTTTAAAAACACCTCATACATATTTAGTTTGATTCAGAAATATATACAATATGACCAGCTTTGTTTTAAGGGATTAAATGTGAGCAATATTACAAAAAATGTATACGATAAAGTATGTCATTAAAATTACATATATTGAATAAATACATGTTTTTTCTTTAAATATACAGGACATCGAAGGAGATGACGTCACCAGAGACCTGCAGAAATCTACCATGGGCATATATGTCATCAACAAGGAGGGTGGAGAACCTGGACATTATGACGACGTTGGGATTTTTGTTGAAGGACTAATCATTCTGGACAACATTGGATCTGTAGACCGAGCTTGTGCCATCATGCTGGGAGTCATCTATACACTGAACATGGCTTACCCCAAAGAGCTAAGGTACTACTATGAATTCATTCAGAAAATGCTCTTGCAAATGGATGGTGAAAGGCTTTCTCCCAAAGTCCTTGGACTGAAGAACAAGATACATGCTGGACTGTAGGATTTCTTCAGCCGCTCTTGTGAACCGATGCCATTAAAGCATTACAAAAACACCAGTCAAACCTCAAAGGTTGGGAGAAGAATGTGGACATCTTGATGGACTTGGAAGACATTTGTTTAATGTATTAGTGTGAGGAAGGTTACATCCTCCTCAGCTGTTTAAGTCACAGGCTTCATGTTACGTCAGGATTTATTCGCTATGTCTGTTTCCACTGCATTTTGTTGCATTTAGTTTTGATCGAAACGGCAACATTTTCTACCTTAGCCAAGCGTAAAAACATTTTATTTTTATATTGGCCATTTACATCTAGTTCAGGAGAAGAATGTGAAAATGTTGATGGAAATATTACATTTATAATGACATTTCTTTCATGTATTAATGTGAGGAAGGTTACATCCTCCTCAGCTGTTTAAGTCACATGCTTCATGTTATGTCAGGATGTATTCGCTAAGTCTGTTTCCACTGCACTTTGCTGTCATGGCCTCCACATCTGCCTAGTCTGTGGCTGTTTCTCAATGTCGAGTAAAACTGCTGCAGAGCCACTATTTCAAGTATACTACGTAATCGAGTGGCGCCGAAGGACTGTTTAAATGCATGTTAAATGCCCAGCATTAGGCGCCACTCAATGACGTAGTATACTTGAAATAGTGGCTCTGCAACAGGTATACTCGACATTGAGAAACGGCCTGTCTCTCCCCCTCATGTGTATGTGTGCGTGCAGGAGTGGAGACAGGTCTGTGTCAGCTTCAAGCCAGCCTGACTCCTAGCTCCTGTCTCCAGACCACCTCCAACGTGTGGAAATTGATGTAAAGTATTATGGCAAAAAGTTCAATACAGCGTAATTCTGGTATATTCATTTTTATGTCACCTGATATATGGGATGTTAGGTATTAGTTAGTGAGAGAAATGTATGTGCGTTCATTTCAAGACTCCTAAAAGAGCAGGAGACGATTGGGTCACACACAATTAGAGAGACAATGGTCCTTCTGATTCTGGGTGAGCTGACTTCGGGTGGATGGAAGTTCAGAGAGGGCCTGGAGGTATGAAGACAGTTAAGCTTTGTTGGATAGCTGGTCCTGAGGAGGTCATGAGATGATGACTGTTAAATTCCCAACAAGTATGGCTTTCATAAAGAAAAAACATATGACTTGTGTGATAAGCTACATGATAAGATGTGTTTTGCTGCAAACTGAGCCTGTTTGGTTCTCTGCTGGCACGCGCTGATTCGCTGTGACACAGCATCTTTTGCATCTCCCAATGAGATGACCAGCTGACCTAACCCCTCCTGTTTTATTCTTGTATATCTCCTGTTGAGTCCTGGCGTTCGCTCTCTCTTCTCGGGCTGCCAGGACCGAAGGATCTACGCAGCACGGGAACCAGGGCAGGAGTACTCCTTACATTACAGTATATTATATTGTATTATATTGTATTGTAATGTATTATATTGCATTGCATTATTACCTTTTATAATTAAAACAGATTATTGTTTAAACTGGTATCCTGGTGTTCTCTGATTTCCTTCCTGTTATGATTTTAAGCAGGACTCGCCAAAACGACACGCGGAGCCGAGTTGGGTTGTAAAAACCTCAAGACTCACAACAGGTGGTGACCCTGACGTTTGCGAGTGGGAGTTCAGAGGGAGTCACATCAGCAGCCAGCGGACGAAGCTGTCCAGGGTGACACCTCTAAATACTTTCTGACAACTAAAAACAGAGCTCTATACAAAATATCAGGTAAGCACGGATACCCGTTACACTCAAAATCTGTGATTTGGCTATATTCAAATTTTTAGAGTTGTCAGGAATATTTCTCAGTGTCTAGTCTTCACGCTAAAGATAATGCAATGCATATTTTAGCATAGATAGGTAACTAACTAATAATAATAAGATTAATAAAGCAACGGTTAGAAACCTCGTGGATTTTTCAGAATCATACGACTGACTCGTTAGCTACACGTGAAGCGATGAGGAGTGTAAGTTGAAGGTGAAAGGCCCCGTGGGTTTTTTCAGAAATCAATACGGCTAACCCATCGGGGGTGTTCAGTGGTTTCCTAACGATTCCATCCAGAACAAAACAGAATAATGCTTTCCAGTCTCATAGGAGCTGCAGTTGCATTATAAGTACAATCCAAGGGGAGATACGCAAATTTCAAAAAAACATTTTGAAAAGACCGGAATCTCGTTCTCTTGTTCTGTGGGGTTAATCTATCAGGCTAAACGTGACGATAAAGAGATTATGTTGACCTAGGGTTTCGGCTCCATGAAAATGCCACATCGCTGAAAAGCGGTGTCGAAGCGCGTTTTAAAGGTCCATTATCTGTTGAAATACACATCGCACCATAAAAGCTGGATAGACTGTACGGGGAATAATTTTCTGTGAATAATTACTAATAGATAAGGGAGAAAAGTCAGATAAAGACGCGAAGTTTAAGCTTGTTGCTCTCAGAAGCATTCTTCCCCTCAAGTGAGGTGGAACTCATTCCTGGTGAGGTGCCGCCATCTGCTGGACGTATTTTGTAGTATTTCTTGCATGATTACATTACATTTGACTGGCGCCTTTATCCAAAACGACTCACAATAAGTGCGTTAGACTACGAAAATACAATCAAAAACAAAACAGGATCATTAAAATATATCTGGGTTTATAGCCAAAACATTTCAAGTGCTACTCAACTGCCTTTCGATAAGCCAGTCCGTTGTTAGTATCATAAGTGCTTCTGTTAGTACTTCTTGGTTAATATAAAATATATATATATTAATATATATCATTCGAAGTGGAGGGGTAATACTTGAGTTTTTACACTCAAAATAGTTACACATTTGGATTAAGGGCAGGGCAGTTGAATAAATACATTAACTACGTTGGGAGTAACGACAAGTATTGTCCATTATATTAATAAATACCACTGAACACACAGCAACCTAGTCAGATAAATACGATACAATCACTATGGAGGGACAGTTTAAAAAAAATGATTTACACGTCCCAATTCCCGGAAGTTTCCGAGAGCAATGGGGACAGGCTGAGAGATTGATTCTCAGTGGACTCAAACAGGGAGACAAGAAGAAGGCTTGTGCCGACCTCGGGTTCCTCCATAAAAAAATGATAGAAGAAGACAGAGTGGGAGGAGATGACACTCTATGAAATCTAAACACAGCTCTAAATGTTTATGAACGACAGCTTGTAAAAAAACTTGGTGACCTAAACCAACTAAAGCACGGATTATTAGGCCGGACGAAACTAAACAAAGAGAAGGAGGAGGTAGATAAAATACGGAGGCTTTGTCATAATGCAGCACTCGCCATGAACGGTGTAGCTGTTACTCCCTTCACAGCCAAAACTCCCCCAGTCCTGGTCGCGGTCCAAACCCCGACCCAGGGAGAGGAGTTTCAACGCTCTAGTAACCTTAGCACTCTCCTGTTCCCTCATGACAGTATAGGGACGCACGTGCCAGCACAACCACCTACAGATGAAGAAATACATCACTTTATTGCAGAACGTGTCAGGGGTTATAGGAATATAAATAAAGAGGAAACCTCTGCCTCAAACAGGGAAGACATGGGGAGGCAAACTCTCAGCAGTGCTGTAAATGACATGTGCACTGTACAAAAGGCTGGCTCAGAAGAGAGGTCTCAGACAGGACCTATAGAGGATCCAGTTCTCCCCTTCAGTTCCCCCCTCATTTACCCGGATTTATTTAATCCAGTTAAACAACCTAAAAGTAGAGAGGAAACTGAAAACGTAAACAATTTACCACAATTGTGTTTTTAAGTTTATGAAGAAAGAGTAGAAAGTAAACAGGAGGTTTTTATAAGTTTTTCAGTCAGGAGGAATCTGTTCATAGTTAAGCATGACAGAGGTGCTGCACGAACGAGGTTTGCTCCGGCCATCTCACACTGTTGGCTAAACACAGAGAGGTGATTGATGAGAGAAGCTTGTGCAGGAGCAGACAGCTGCAGGGCCCAGAGAGAGAGAGACAGGAGAAGTAGATGTTTTGGAAGAGTTCAGAGAGAGTAAAACTTATATAAAGTTAACTACTAGTCTGGAAAATGTCATATTGTTTTGTGAGTGAACATGAAGTAAAAATATATTTACTAGATATAAGAACAACATGCTTATCTAGGTTAACAGAAAGCTGCTATTAACGAGTTTCAGCAGCTACTGTCCTATCTGTGTTCCAAAGAGAACATACGTCGCATTTACAATTCATATTAAGAAAGTTCACAATTGATACCATTAAAGACCGTTTTGGATTAATAGGGCGTGTCTGTCATAAACACTCGTGCTCGGATGGAATAAAGTGTTGAGATGTTCTCAAGAGTGGGAGTTTTCACAACGCTTTTTAGTTTGTATTGAAACAATTAAGTGATAAGGACAGAAAAACTGTTCCGTGATGATTTCTTTAGGTTTTAGCTTTAGTAATGGAGATTACATTTTGTGAGGAAACTTTTCCACCAATAATAACTATTCAAAATATATATTCATTAACTGTAATCAGATTACTTGTTTTTCAAATATAGCGCTAAATACAGTTAGTTTTGTATTCTGTTACAAATCTAACCTGCTTGTAACACAACTTAGATAAACAATTTGAAAAATAATGGAATAAGCAAGTGGTTAAGGAGATTTTCCTGTTGGGCTCATTTGATTTAGAACTGAAGTAAGGAAGAATAGTGTTTTATGAGAACTGTCATTCCTCATGGTTTTTAAAGATAAATCATCAGTTTGTTTGGACTTTGATGTAGAAATAGGATCATGGTGGAGAAGGAAGACCTTTTTTTGGTTTCAAATTAAAGAAGATTTTAAAGATGAAGTTTATTTTATTTTTTTTCTGACTAGAATTTTAGAAGCAGGACTTCAACTAGACAAAAGAGATTTTACAATGTGGTTTTACTACTTTTAATGAAGTAAAGAATCTGGGTAGACTACTGCCATTGGTTTGTTTTAACATTCACATGTTTCAGCATTCCTGACCATATCGACACTCAGCCGTTTTATTTTGTAACCCTTTGGGGGAGAGATTTAAATTGAGTTTTTCTCCAGTTGCTGATTTGCTGTGATTACAGCAGCACTGGATAGTTGTGCGCCACCTTTGGGTTGTACTCTGAATCAGTGTGTTGGTGAAGAGTTGCTCACTACAGAAATAGAAGAACTGTGCAAAGAACGCATCTCTGAGGAGGGTTTGATATTTTGCTTGGGCCTCGTTGTCAAGGCAACAGTGGTGTGAAGAGGAACTGCAGTTTTTGGGGATTCCTGCTGTGCAGAGGACAACGTGTGTCTGCTGATTGTACCACATTGATCCAGAGGTTCCTTCCCCCTCAGGACATCCCAGTGCAAAACAAGAGTTTCATTGATCCAATTGACTACAGCTGCAGAAGACAACACATCACTGATTGTTCACATTATGACAAGATCTTGAGACAGGCTTGTCTCAGATTGTTCAGACTGAAGAAATTATGCGATGATTTGACAGCATAACTGTGCAAGAGTTTTCCAGAGGGTGG